TCCTGGATATGGACGAAAAGATATTGTCGCTTAAATAATAGTCGAATTAAGAACTTCCACTTTTATTGAAGTCGGATGAAACCGTTGTCAGAAAAATATAGGAAAAACGAGTATACCGTAAAAAAACCGAAGTTTAATTTCTCAAAAGGAACAGAAAAAAATAAATTAAAGAAACATGGAAAAAGGGTCCTCCACTAGTAGTTTAGTATTAGTATGTAATATTATATTATCTGTGGTATTAGTTACGACCGATAGTTGTTTATCTATCTGTCACATTGTCATTAGTAACATTGTCTGTATATTATAATTATCAGTGGAATAGACAATACCAAATATCTTGTACTACGGATACAACACCTGGTAGCAATTGTTACATCTTTTTTTTTCTATATTCTTACTCTCAGAGTCTCTTAGTACTATAGGTACTCTTTAATATATATTACACTAGCTGTCCCGGGAAACATAGTTTTGCCATATAAATTGAAGTACTAATATCGCTGTAAAAAAATAAGGGTTGGTGGTAGGAGAGTGAAAATTTAGGGTTGTACGTATTTTTTAATTCCACATATCACAATTATCACTTAGGGGTATGAAAAATAGATAGTAGCCGATTCTCACACCTACTGAATATGCCTATACCTATAAAATTTCATAAAAATCGGTCAAGCCACTTCGGAGGAGTATGGTAACTAACATTGTGACACGAGAATTTTATATAAGAGATTTTCGAATTATAGCTTTAATTTACAACAACATAAGTTTGCCAGCATTAATAATACAATTAATAAAAAATATATCTATCCATACATTTAAATAAGTATCTGTTTGTAATATTTTACTACATACATATGAATATAAATACGGTATATATACCAAAATAACATTTTTTACAATTTTTGTCTGTCCGTCTGTTTGTTCCGGCCAATCTCTGAAACCGCTGGATCGACTTTAACGGGAATTTTATTGGCAGCTAGCTGATGTAATAAGGAGTAACTTAGGCTACTTTTATTTTAGAAAAATAAAGTTAAATTCCACGTGAGCCAAGTCGCGAGTACCGCTATTTAAAAATTATGTTCTTGAAGAGAAGGACTTTCTAATATTTGAAGGAATTCTGTATTCTAATTTATAATATAATTTCTTTTTAATGTTTCTAATAAACATTTTAAAAATAGATTAAAGACTTTTACTTAACCTTTCTACTACATTTTTTTTGTCAATTGTCATTCTATTTTCAAATTTAAAAATCGAAATTCTTTTTATTGTTTCTAAAATAACATTTCAAAAATACATAGACTTTAAAAGTAATGTCTTCCATTATTTAAATAATATAATAATAAAAAACAATATTATCGTCTTGCGAACAATTTTAGAAATTTGTTCGGATCTGAGTGTTCTCCATTATGAGAGCACAGATGTTCGCAGTCTGGCTTCTCACGTTATAAAATAATATGATTGTCTGGCATTTCTCTTGGTGTATTTTAGTTCATTATTTCCACATTTGCCGTGAATGTAGGTAATTGTTTTCAGCCAGTAATTAGTTGTTTGTTTTTTTTTGCATAAATAACATGCACATATACCATATATTGCAAAGACAGTTTTTAAATCAGAAAAACTAGCTTTTAAAGTCAGGTATAAGAGCACCAAACAACTCGATTGAAGTCGTAGAGCAGCTATTATAGAATTAAAATAATTTTCGAATCATCCTATGTTAATTCTTACAGTTCACGGAAGTTAAAAACTAAAATTCTAGGATATACGTTGGAAGTATTTTTTTATATCTATTGTTATCCGGAAAGATTACGTAGTCTCAGATTACGCGAAAGATGATATGGTAAGAAAGAGAGTAAATAACAAGAAGACTGCGAAGAGGGATGAATGGAAGAGAAAAACATATTACGCGGTCCCCAAATAAATGGCATAAGGATGAAGCAGATGATGATGATGATGATGTTATCAGATTAACTGATTGCAAGAAATTGACATGGTAAATTATGCATACAAAAAATGAATATTAAAAAACCATTACGTTTAGGTACTCATACATAATAATAACAATATTATTCTAGTTCTTTTTATTTGTAGTGCGTACATTAATCATGAAAAAAATATAATACATAAAATACGTGTACTTACGTCCCATGTTATTATTTCGCCATTTAATATTACATTAGGCCTGGTTTTTATAGTAAATTCTACAATTATATAAACGCTACACAATAAGTAATTGAATCGTATGCGAAACGCAATAGAAATAATTTATTTATTACTAGAGGTAGACCAAAAGTTTAGTGCGTGGCTAAACTACTCTCTTAAATCTCAAGTCGCCAAGCAGTTTCCTTTGTAAGCAGTGTTTTGGTATAAGGGTGCAGATTAGGCAGTAAAAATACAAAATGACACGTCGCAATCCAATGTCATTGTATCACAATAATTTTCTAGAGTAGGCTGGACCTTATAGAACTAATTTTATAATACTGGATGTTAGTACAATGAAATTTGTCGCAGTAATTGATAATAGGGCGATGTGAGGAAAACGTCAGTTAGGAGTTTCCGTATCTAACTTCTTGTCTGTTCAACGGTCTTGAAAACGAATTGACCGTGGAGGCAAATTATAAAATATTAGCTAACTCGTGCAACTGCATATTTTTCCCGTTTATTTTTTAATTATTTTAATTACGGCTCCTATTAGTCGTTGCGATGTTTACTTTTATATAGTAATAGCTGTGCCCGTGACTTCGTTCGGGCAGTGCACGCAAAGGAAAGCCTCAAAATATTAATAGCTTTTCCCGTTTTTGCAACATTTTGCACTCATGCTTCGCTTCTATTAGATATAGCGTGGACGCCAAATTGACTATCCAACACAAAAAAAATATCAATTCGAACCAGCAGTTCTTGAGATTACTTAGCTCCTTCAAACAAACAAACGAACAGACTCTTCTAATATTATTATATATAATACTTCATTGGCCAAATAAAACACGATACAAAAGGATTACATTAAGTAATCCTAGCGCACGAAGCATTTTGGGATGAAAAGTTATACTCGAATGTGATTCTTCATAAAATAAATTAATCTAGATTATAACTATTAAAAATAGATAATATCACAACTGATGTTATGTTCCTATAGCCAATTTATCAATCAATAAGGCTCGCACGCAATTTTCTTGCCTATTCTTCTTGTGGTGAGCACAAGAAGAATAGGCAAGAAAATTGAGAAATAGCTAGCTTCCTAGATTATTATACCCTATGCCTGCTAGATTATTTTTATATTTATTTTAGGAAGACGTCCACTGCTGAATAAAGTTTTCCCCAAAAATCTCTACGACGATCGGTCCTGCACTGCTCGCATCCATCGCTTTCCCGCACTCTTGACCAGATTGTCGGTCCACCTTGTCGGAGGCCTTCCGATCCGCAGTCGCCACTCGAAGTCTTTCCTGCTCCAATGGCAATCTTCCGGCCTTAACCCTTTCTATAATTAGGCTAGACTGTCTTGATCATTATTATGTCTATTCCTACATTATTTGTTAGATTTTTTTTGGAAACTACCCATGTAAGTCGAGGTCTTCTTTTGGTCTTCTGTATCTTGTATTTCTACATGGCTGTGCCGACGTCATCTAGACTCCACGTCCATGGTCCACGTTCAATACAATTTGTTATAAGTGGGACAGTTATTAGTTTCCTGCCGTTACTATCATCACGACTGTCTGTCTGTCCAGAGACGTGAATACAAATTGACCATGAAGACAAATTATAAAATATTATTATGTAAATGAGCGACTTATGCGAATACAAAGCAATCACAGTACTTAATGGATTGTATTGTCATTGTTAACTGGATTATTAATCAATGTTTTTAAATCGACTTGTTTTAAAGTTGAGAGCGTTGTGGCTTAGCGACGTATTACTTCGATTTTCACCCAAAAAGTCGTGAGTTCAAAATTGATCGACATAAAAAGATTTTGCACACAAAGTTTTTTAGTCGATTTGATTTATATTTCTGATTGACTCTCAGGTGAAAGAAACACCCATAACAAAACCAACAATTTATTTTAGAAACGTCGGTAGGCTCACTGTCTTATTTAATTAGATAGATAAAGGATTTATTTGTATGTTCAGCACAAAAATAGCAATACAGTATATTAAAAAAAAATTAGGTAAACTATACTAAGTAGGTACTTCTATAGTTTATTTTTTTTAAACTATAACAAAGAACTAAACAAAGTGCCTAAGTTCGTGCTCAAAGTGTTTATATAAAGTTTATTTTAATAAAGATTACATGTATTTCTAAGTCAGAATTTCCTCGATAAAATAGTGTAAATGTTCATAAGTACACATTATCGATATAATATATATATAACTATATAAACTAACTAACTAACTATAAACGACATAATTTTTTTTTATAAACTTTGTCCTTTTTTATGAGAGTATATCAGTTTGTATGTCTTTGTACAAAAAAGTAAGAAAGATGGATTTTAAATGGGCAAATTAGTTATTGGTTGTAAGACATACGACTTTTTCCCGTTTATCCTTACAATGTGTCACACCCTGCACGCTGCCTAACAACCGTGATTGCACGCTCGGTTTGTTTACAATATTGTATCTACTTAAGTAAGTTGGCGTCTATCTGTTGTGTATGACTACATTCAATATTTATAGACTATAAATATATATATAACCAATAAAGAAGTATATTTTTATTTTATTTCAACATGGCTAACACGATCATTGCAGAATAGGGCGACCCTTATGCCTTTCTGCTTTGAATATTACGCATGCGCGCTTTGAAATTCTGTGGCGTGGTTATCCCACGATTTTATAACCTTGAAATGCACCCGAGATTTTAAAATGTTATCTCCGATTATCGTTAATCAATATTGTTATATCTATAAAATTATTTGAATAAATAAGTAATACATGAAATTTAGTTATAACACAGTGTATATCAAAACAAATGTATTACAATATTTTATAATAATACGTAAGGCTTAAGTACTGACCTGTAACTAATATCGGGGGCTTCAAAAATATAAATTGATCCGTATATTCCCGCCAAAAATACAGGGAATAATAGAAATGCATAGTTCACTAGATTATATTTTCCGAAAGATCCCAATTCCGCCAAGATTGCATCCAAGCCGATGACCGCAGTCTGTTTAACCATTTTTGAGCGAAACTTGAAGAATAATCAGTCTTTATATGAACACCAATTACTTTTAATTAATAACTAACATACTGTTGATATTATAAACCAAATATTATCATTATTTACTTTCACAAACCTACGTGCCAGTTGCTTCTCTTTGACAGAAACAATACGCATGCGCGGTAAAAAGGCGCGAATTTTATTTACACGGAACTATATTTTTTAAAATTAAACGCATCGACGTATTTCCAAACGTCTGGACTCCAACTGTGTGAGAACGAAAATAAATAATAGAAACCGGCTAATATCAGAGGAGTGCACAGATAACCGGCTGACATACATGCTTGAAAGAGATGGAATAAGCAATTTGTATGTAATAAAGCGAGATAGGAATATGGTGGTGTGATCGCTTGGCATTTTGATGGTACTATATACGATTACTGTATTTGTGATAACGTGTTATTTAAAGTTAAATAAAATATTTTATTTTATTATATAATTTAAAATTAACCTGTATGATTAATGGACCATTATAACACACTTGTTATTACAAATTAAGATTTATAGTTTATGTAAGGTAACCTAATTATATTTCGCGATGCTGATTGTTAAGTAGGTAAGAACCTACATATGTATGTATATTTAGACATGGGCAGTATTCCAATATGCTAATGTATGTACCTAGAAGGATAACAATAGGATGTGTATATCTACACTATTTATAAACTCATACGTACTACATTTTTCTTGTGTCTTTGTTTGTATAGACTTCAATAGTTCAACGGGAATAATTAGGACATTTAAGCCAATGATAATATTTTACTATTTTGTCTACCAGCAGATCAAGTTTTATTTTAATAATAGAAACTAGGTATTTTTTCTTTAATACGCAGCTTATTCGATTTAACAGTTTTGATTTTCTAACCTCTAATTAATATTAATTCTTTTACTGTTTTACTTGATTACAAATAATTAAATTTGAACATAATTTTATTGAAATGCCAGACGTAATGAATAGAATATTACTTTCAAGTAATGGCGGTTAGAGGCACTATTGTTAGTACTGGAAACTATCGTGCTGAATTCGCCTTGATGGGCTAACTGATCTGACTTTATCTTCACAATATCCACTACCAATAGTTTGCTTTTAGCATTACATATTTAACGAATAAAAAAACCTATGTATATTAAAATATGAATTACTAAACAGAGCAAGTGTCTATTATTATTTACTGTAAATATAATAAACATCTGAATAAATACGACAGTCTATTCACCGCGTACGTTACTAGAGTTCGTTTCGTTATGGTTTTCAATAGTTTATTGACTTTATATGTACTGTATTAATTGTGGTCTAAACCACAAAATACGGATTTTAAAAAGGATTAGCCAATCATAACTCCCTAATGGAGTGACGTCATCTTATTTAATATTTAAATTGAAAAATTCGAATACATGATGGAGTTTTAGGTATATATAGCCTAGTAACCGTGATTTTTTATGCGTAGAATTTGTAGAGGCCGCCTATAGATGATAATCGAATGACAACAATAAATAAAGGATATATAAGGCGCCATCTTTTATTTGATTAACAAAATTGTAAGTATTGAATTTTTGCACAAAAAATATTATTTCACCTCCCAAAGTACGTGAGGTTTACAAGAAACCCTTCTTGAAAAAGTAATGTATTTTAAACCGCATTATATTAAGGTTTCTTAAGGGTCGGCAACATGCACGTGATACTACTAGTGTTTCAAGCGTCCATAGTCTAGGGTAACCGTTTACCATCAGATGGTATATACTTGTTTACCACCAACGCAGTATAAACAATACATTCCGCATTTTTCACAAGATTCTTTAGCTAATAAGTAGACTCATATTTTGCCCTTAGCTTGTTTGCCATTCCAATTCTATAAAAACATCTCAGGACAACTCGCACAGCGCCATCTAGTTCCAAGCTAAGCAGAGCTAGTGTTATTGGTACTAGACAACTGATAGAAATAAAAAGATTTTGTTTACATAGACCGACCGAGGCTGTCGTAAAAGTATTAAATTCCATGTTATAACAAATCAATCTATTGTTACTGCACAGACGAGTTTTAAATTTTCGTCGTATGTGGCAGCCGTTATACAATATTATATAGATATGCTGTATATTACAGAATATGTAATTTTGTAGCCAGATATCGGTTTCATAGGAGCATTTTCCCACGAATGTTCCTGTTGCGAAATAAACTTTACGCCGAACTTTTCCCTAGAGTTTTGTGGCTTTTTGAAGAATTCATAACTTTATACTGGTTCGTACCGAGTCGTATGTACCCCGTCGTATGTATTTATTTATTTATTCTAAACACTAAGCTACAATCGTCGTTATTTTTTATTACACTATTATTATTGTAATCTAAGAAGGTAATAAAATTTACAACGAACGCCTGATGAAATCCAATTTGCAAACTTGTATGGAAGCACATATGTCTACTATTATTTATTCCAACTAGTTGTTGAAATTCGACTACAATTGATTTAACATTCAGTAAGATAATTGACAAATAATATTAAAGACAAACAATATTAATCTATTCTCAATTTGACCACAGACCTTAACTTAAGGGAAGAGTATATGTATATGCGTGCGTGTGTCAAATAAATATATATTCTTTACACATTATTAAAAAATATATTTGCATTCAGCATTCCTTAAGGAATTACGTATTTTTGTAAGAAGGGGTACCCAGTTTTTATTTCATGCATTATATATAAATAATTGCTGACCTATACCTACTAGCTAAGTGACTATAAAAATACCTATACTCAATTCAAGAGATGATTGTATAAAGTTATAGCATACGCGATAAAAGATAACGAACTTGTCAGTGAACTATCGTTATATTTTCTCTAATAATGGCTATTCTAAGATAAAAGTGATATTGTTGCTATTTTTATGTATATATATACTTAAATATGTATAGATATATGTAAACATAAAATAAGTACTACTTTTGTTTCATTAAAAGAATCTCTGAATAATGAATCCTTACAGTAGTATAAACATTAGAGAATGTTGAGGTGGATGTGTGGTGTGACAAGAATGGATAAGATAAAGAATGAATACATTAGAGGAAGTATGAAAGTGGCACCGGTATCAGAGAGGTTGAAGAGTAATCGTCTATCATGGTATGGACATGTAATGCGTAGGAACGAGGATAATATTTTAAGAAAGGTGTTACATATGAATGTGGATGGTTATAAGGGCAGAGGAAGGCCGAAAAAGAGATGGATGGACTGTGTGAAAAATGATATGGTAAGAAAGGAAGTAAATAACGCGACGACTGCGAACAGGGATGAATGGAAGCGAAAAACATATTACGCCGACCCCAAATAAATGGGATAAGGAAGAAGCAGATGATGATGATGAATGACAGTGGTATAAACATTACTGATTTAGTTTCTGTTTTACACTATTGCTATTTTTAGTTTTTAGGCGTTTATTTACATATAAGTAAGGAGATATATAAAATATATACATAAACAATAATAATTATAAATACATTTATTCAACATTACATTTAGCATTGGTAGGTATTTATAATTATATTGGTATTTGGGAAAAAATCCCATGTAACTTAAAAGCTAAAACATATTGATGACGATGAATGTGACTCCCACTGAGCATTTATACTGTATCTCTAATATTATATCACTAATATTATAAAGAAGTAAGTGTGAGTTTGGATGTTCGGGGTAATCTACATTATTACTAATCTGATTTTTTGTATTCTTTAAGTGTTGTACAGCCCAGTTATCCAAGGAAGGCTATAACATCTACGACGAAATGGAGTAGATGTGTGATGAAAAGTATTTTTTTATGGATGATAATGGAATGGTGCACCCCCCTATGCTATCGGTTTAGTCTGGAGGGACGATAGTGGAGGACGATAAGATGAGCATGTGGTCAGGTTAATTAGCCCATCGTAACAGTTTACTAAGAATTTATCACGGTGGTTTCCAGGGGAACCGCGTGGAGGTCAAACTGACATGGTACATTACTAGCAATAAGATCATCAGTCCACATTACTAACAATTCCCTTTCCCCTCTGGTGAAAAGTATTGTAATAACGGAAAAAAGTGGATACACTTTTGTTTCTACGGAGAACTAGTCCAATACTCTTCGTCGAGTTGTCTCCCTCGGGCAATCCGAATGTCTGTAAGTGTCAACAAACATACATATGTAAATAGAGACGAACTTCTTAGCATTCCATGGATTCACCGTGCAGGTGCCGGGACCATCGTGTGGCAGAGAGGGAAACTCCGACCAATTCCCGGAACTTGTATAGTTGCATGTGAACATACGAAAATCTTTACAAACTATTTCCTTTACTATGGTATAACAGAAGATCAGTATTTTATTTAGCTACGTGATTTTAACAAAAGAGCAAAAAAATGTAATTTTACCTATTTAAAATGGTACATTAAAAATACTAGTTGACCCAGCAAATGGTGTTTTGACATATAAATTGAAGTACTAATATCGCTATAAAAAAAAGGGTTTGATGGTAAAAGGGCGACAATTTGATGATGATGATGATGTGTTTTTCAATGCTAAATCATAATAAATAAAAAATAAAAAATTGTCTGTTTGTTTGTAATACTTTATTGTACAATAATATTATAAATAAAAGGACACAATTGACTTAGAAAAAAAAATTGTCATTGTGAGCACTTGTAATTGAGGGGAAAAATAGATGTTGGCCAATTCTCAGATTTACGACAGATCTACCCGAGATGCACACAAAATTACATATAAATTGGTAAATCTGTTTTGAAGGAATTTGGTAACGAACACTGGGACACGAGAATTTTATATAATAGATTACCTACATACGTGAACATAAACATTAAAATGAAATAAAATGTATTTATTATATTTACATGAAATATGGTATGAATATAAAAACATGTCAGTAGAGTTAAGTAGTCCACATATTGCCACTGTTTCGGCATGCAAAATTTTAGTAATATACAATAGGATTAATGAATTTATACACAACAATTACATTATATATCAAATTTAGGTAGGTATATAACACTTATAGGTGTATTTAGTTCGTAAGGTGTCAATCAATATTATTTAAATGTATGCTATTAATTTTATTCATTAACTAGCTGTACCCGCGACTTCGTCCGTGTGGAATTTAACTTTATATTACTAAAACAAAAGAATTTTTCTAAAATAAAAACATCCTAAGTTACTCCTTATTACATCAGC